CTTTTTAGAAAAAAAGGGCTTTTGGAATTTTTGTTCCACGCGGGTCGCGGCGCATTCGCTAAAAAATCTTCAGTGGTTTGCTGGATAGCCGATGCCAGAAGAAGCTTCGCGCGCAGCTGACAATTTCGCCCTTCTCGGAATGCAAATCTCGCCGTCGCTGGTCAGGTAGAATAGAACACCTTATCACTAGTTTAGAACGAATGAAGACCGTCTGCGATACGAGAAAAGGGAAGAAGAATAAGAAACGCTTCAATCGACGATGAGAAGCTTCTGAAAATGAAAACCTCATTTATGTACATAAAATAAAAGCAATTGAAAACTAAAGAGCTGTTTTGGCGGTGTTAAGTCTATTTCAGATAATGAGAGTAAACTGAAAGTTTTAAAATGGTTTCTAAAGGGAGAATTCATTCAACATCTGATGATTAAACAACGGGCTGAGTGACGATCGGAGCTCGTTTTCTCTTCTCGTAGTTGATATGGCGTTCGTTCTGGACCAGGACGCACACAGGGCACCACATGATGCAGCAGACGTCGCTAGGGGAGTTCTACTTGAGAAAAAACTAACAATTCAATAAACTTACAAAAGAAATTCGCCATTCTCATGGATTCCGAATTTGTTTCGAATTTGTTGGCGTTGATGGTAGGCAATCGAGTACATCATCTTCATACAAATTCATTAGCGATACTTCTTACTTTTTAAACTTACAAACCAGGACGTTAAAACCAGAAAAGAAAGCCAAGCATTGGCTCCCATGGAAGTAACAAGGCCGAGCTGACGGACACTCTGCACTACAGGGTCGACAAAAAGGGAGGAGCAGCAGAGGCTACAAAACAACGCAGCTGAAATTAACTTAATTAGAGATCGTATAAGTTAGATAATTTACCTGAATCTTTATCCTTGAGTTTAACCTGAGTGTTGTACACTGAGAGGCAAGGACAGCAAAAAGCAGAAAGGCAGAGCCAATGGGGATCACAAAAACCGTGTTTGAACACAGGGGTTTCTTGGAAAGTTAAAGACAGATATTTTTTGATTATCTAAGAAAAATTGATGAGAATCGACATTGATGCAAGCTCGATCTCTTTTAATGTTTTCAACCTCTTCCTGTGGAGAAGCAAGAGTCTTTGGCTCGCATGTCACCGGCGATTTCTCTGTCATGTCTTGCTTCGGCTGATTACCTTTCACCTCAAAAAAGATTCGATTGCAAATGACAGGCCAGCGAGAAAAGAGTCCCAGCGATAAAATCTAGAGAAAACTTTTCTCGAAACTCGCTTCAAAAATTTGCTGCTTACGTGAGTTCAAAGTCTGATAGACTCACGTAAAAACAATCAACAAAAAACTATCTTGAGAATTTTGAGCCTTGATCTTGCAGCTTTAGAATTTCTCTTGCAATTTTTAAGAGAAAAAACCATGTAATTATAATGAATAGAAACTCTGAGAATAGAAGCGATCTATTTAGCAAGAACTGGATGATATTTGCGAGGAATATTCCACGTTCCATTCCGGAAGAGTTTCATGACCTGGGAACTGCTTTTTTTCATGTGACAAGAAGTATTCTAGAGCCGCATTCCATCGCCCTAAGCTCGCTGGATTCACGATAACACAAACAGCACGTTAAGTTCCACTAAGGGTCATTATAAGTGACCCACTCTTTCGTAACCTTCCCCAAACCGGGCGCTTTGTTTGGAGTGAGAGGATATGCATCCATTCTCTGAATATTGGAGCACACAAATATGCAGATTTCGCGAGCAGCATAAGAACCCTTCCAGGATTTAAGACCTTATTTTAAGGGGGTGGTGGTCGAGAATCGGATTTCTTTCAACAAAATTAGCTCAAAATTTTTCAAAAAAAAATATTTTTTTTTCTCAACAAAAATGGGTTAAAGAGGGTTCAAATTATGTGGGCGGCTTAGTATAAAAAAGATTTTTTTTTGGAAAAAGCTCGAAATATGCCCCTAAAATGGACCTATCTTTTGACAAAATTGTGAAGAAACCCTTAAATATTTTTCGGAATTAAATTTATTGTGAAGAGAGTTCAGACCCTTAGGCGTGTGGGCGAAATAGTTTTAGAAAGGGTCTGCAACATTTTAAGGTCGTCGAAGCTTATTTAAAAAAATGTTGTTTTCTTGAAAATCGTCATTTTTCACCTATTTTACACTGAAATTTTCGAAAACATCAGAAAAATCGTAATTTTTTTAGAATTTTATAATTAAAATATGATCAATAAATATAACTCGCAAATAAAATCAATTCCGAGTTAGCCTTAGTGCAAAAAAACGCGTTTCAAAATACCAGAAAATGGTGATTTCTTAACATAAAATCGAAAATTCTCTTAACTAAAGTTGGTCCAATTAAAAAAAGCTAGCGACCAAAAATGCTCCTTTTTTATCAAGGAATCTAAAAATATTATCAAAATTTTAAAAAGTCGAGAAAAATCTTCTCGACTACCACCCCCTTAAATAAGGATGCGTCTTCAATGAAAACTCTTTACTTTCAAGAAAAAACAAAATACAATTTTCAAAAATTATTGAAACAGTATTTTTCACAAGACTCTTCACAGGTGTCTGGAAGAGATTCAAATACCAATGGGACTTCGAATGAATGTAAATGATTTGCAATAATTGTTGCTTCAGTGATCATCGTCCCATTCCATTCAAGACGCTCTACATTATATGGGCTAAAGATTTTTTAGGATAATGAAAAAAATTGGCTACTAACGCGATAGCTCCGCTAAAATTCAGGATAAAGCCTCCAAAGAATAATGCTGAAGATAAAGTGGATGCCTTAAAGAACAGCATGATATTAATCATTTTTTTATTAACCTACATCTTTTAGCATACCAACATTCGTCCAGGATCCATCTCTAAGCATAAATACGTTATTCAATGGAATATACGCCCCTTCGGAATTTCGAATTTGACCACCAATCGACAAAAGCCCATTTTCTATTGAGAGACAGCTCGGTTGAGTCAAAGCAAGCGGATGATCTGTAGTAAGACGCCAACCACTAAGACCAAAAATTTCAACTTTGCTCATCATATCATGTGAATTGTCGCCTCCGCCAACTGCAGTCGGAGTGTTATTATTTAGCGCTAAACATCCCGCTTTATGGTGATAGTTTGAGGAATACGGATTAAGCCGTGAAGAAACGCCGTCAAAATCTTCGCATGAATTGTGAACGGAGTTTTGTTCCCAGTGCCCAAAACATAACATAATTTCCATCGGTGATGTAGGAACCGTAACTAGCGATCCACGAACACTGTCAAAGTCATGGAGAAGTTTTGAAGATAACGGAAGAATCCTGCAAAGATCAAGTATGCCTATCTTAAATGATTGTTTTTTAGAATATTTGATATTCTGTTTTGAATAAAACTTATTTACTTTTCGTTTGTCTGACTCGCCACCAAAGAAAAACATTTGTCCATTAAGTTGCGCTGCACCAGATCGATAAAGATATGGAGCGTTTCCGGGTGTACTTGGCACTTCAAAAAATCTGTCTTGCTACAAAGAAAAGTATTTATCAAGTCATGCTAATTTTCGCGGAATGTGCCTTCGAAATTAATTGTAAGATTTATAACTTATAATTTATAAGAGATGTGTTGTTTCTTGAATAAGTGTTAAAGATTTTAAGGAATTTCTTGAGTTCTCAAAAAACTTCTAGAGATGAGAAAACCTCTGATAATTTTAATGTCTTTCAGTTTTCCTGGCATAAGGCTAAGCCGAGAAAGTTGTCAATAAACCATTCTTTACAATTACACAATACCTTGTAGTTTCCATCCGCGGATATAACATAATTAAGTGAGAATTCAAAGCTTTGACTCAAAACCATTATATGAGATTGACATTTGTATCCATTTTCACAGGGGCAACCATCTGGGCACTCTTTCATGCATGGGCATAAATCGATCATATTCATAAAGGACTCATAGCATGAATCAAAACATTCTTTGGAAGGTCCACATAAAACGTTGCAATTTGTCTGGGCATGAGAAGCATCCTTTACGCACTGTTGGTAAATTGGATTTGATTTTTCGGGTTCTTATAAATGTTCAACATGCAAAGAATATAATATTCGGAATATTAAGCAATAACGAAAACTGTTAATCATTTCTTTGCAATAGCATAAAGGATGTGGACAATTCACACAACCATCAACACAGTCCACAGAGCATGGGCATGAGTTTACACACCCTATATATTTTTATTTTCATTCTACCATTATTCATTACCAGTATATGAGTTCAAACATTGAGTTTCACATAAACTATCTATGCAACTATCGCGGCATGAGATAAAATCCAATCGACAATGAGCTTCACATTCGTCTCCCAATATTTGATCACTTATTTTAATAATTATCAGATAATTTACTTTTAACGCCGGAACGCATAATTTTTTTTTTCCCGGAACGCATTTTGACCGATTTTGTGAGTAATCAGTTTTTAGGCCATATGCAATTTGTAAAAACACTAAATTTTACAGACTATAAACTACATCTGTTGTACAGTACAACTTGTACTTACGGACAATCGTCAGCTAGGATTGATTCCATTAGAGTTAAATAAAAAATTACTGAATTAACTATCATCTGTTCTGCTACGAGCACTATCTTGTCTCATTGCCGCAGTTGCGGAATTTTTCAATAAGTATTATGTACAGAACACTTTAGTTTTATTCCTTTGATAGAATCAAAGCAGAAGAAAGCAAAGTTCGGGATCATAAATATTTTATTTCAAACGTGGATACTTTTTCTGAAACGTATACGCAATCGTTCTAATTGCAATGTGTTTTTGCTTGAGTCAGGGATTTTCAAAGCGCTGTTGCTGAATTTTACACTCGTTGTGGTACTTTTTGAGAAATCGATTGACAATTTCGTCAAAAGACACACTATCATCTACTCAGAAATTCAATCGTATGGAGCAAAATGCACTGTTTAGCTATTCTTACACTTTTTAAAAAGTATAAGAACAAGGGTTTACGTGAGAAATTCGTACTAATAAGAGATGGGGAAAAAGACCCTCTTTGAGCGATGCGGATTTCTCTACGGAGGAAAGAACTTCTTCTGGAAGGTCATTTACTCAGTTTTGTACATGGTCGGCATCTACTACACCGTTGAGAAAATTGGCCAGAACATCAGTCGATACCTCAAATATCCGTCGATTATTAGCCAGAGAGAAGACGTCCAGGTCTTTACTTTTCCTAAAATCACCCTCTGTCCGTACCAGTCCCACTCTTGGCGAAAAGTAAAGGCCCTCTATCCGATGGTAAATCGAACGGTGTTGAAGGCGTTTTATGGTTACCACGAAAAATCGCAGGACAATTTTCAAAAACACAGATCGAAAGGAGCGCTCAATTTTGCCAAAGAAGCTTGGAAGGAATTCGAGTCTATTAATGTCAAGGTTTGAATACTCTTTTTCTGAATATTCGCGTTATTTTCAATTCTAGGATTTCTTCACTGACACGGCAACAACGCTGAATATCCATCACTGCATGTTTGACATGTACGATTGTTCGTAAGGCTCTGAAACATCTAAATATTAGGACATTTGCGTCACTATGAGTACTTTAAGATTTTCGTGATAGAAAAAAAGAGTAGCATCGTTTCTGAGCCTTTTTGTTTAGTTTGGTTCATGAATAGTTGATTGTAAAACTCAGATCGCGTGAATTTTCTCGCTTTTTAGAACAACTGACACTTTTGTTTACAGTGGTGTTTCACTGTACCCAAATATCTGCGGCTTAAAATGATCAAAATTCGGGTTAAAAAATTCAGTTTTTTATACACTTAGACTTATCAATCGCCGACTCTGTAGTTCTGAAAAGCGGATTATTTTTCTTTGAACTCACTACAGTAAAAACGACTGGGAGCAGATCCGCACGAAGCTCGGGGTTTGTCATCAATTTAATCTCCACGAAGGAAGGGATCAGCTTTCTTGAGCCAATATTTAGTCGCCTAGTCGGCCAGTTCCCCAAATCAGTGAAAAATGATAATTTGGTCGAAATAGACCTGGATATGCCCGAGCACAGTCTTGGATTAGTTATTAGCGTTGATAAGAATGACTACTCGTTTGGTTGGTACGGGAATATGCGAGGCATTCATATGTACTACGGTAAAGGGGTGAAAAAAAAAGGAAGCTTCTTTTTATTTTTTTCTTGGAACTCCTTGAAAAGATATTATTCCGACGCAGTGCGGGTCGAATACAACTCGATCTCCATATCGCCGCTGGTAAAAAAATTTTTGTTGGTCTGGTTATCGTTCACTTTCGAATTCTAAGCTAACGCCGACGATAAGCTACAAGCTTCTCAAGACTTCTTATCTTGGTGGCAAATACTCCAATTGTACCAAAAGGAAAATGTGAAAAGACTTTCAGACATAAAAATTACGCTGTTTTATTTACAGTTTTCACAACGGCCATTAAACATAGAGCCAACGACCTTGCCGTTTTTGTCAGTATAACAGTAAATCAACTCTTGGCACTGAAAACACACAGTGTTATTTTTGCAGAACGGGATCATTTCCAGCAGCCGAGTTCTTATATTCAGCGAGATTTTATTCTCAAGTTGAGCATTGCGGTCATGAATTCTAGTTGAATTTTGAAGTGAAACTTTGAATTCTTTTTCGAGCTGAGCTATTTTTGAATCGATGAATAGTCGCTCAGTCTTGAGACTTTTAATTTCTTCCTCAAGCTTTTCTCGCATTTTTATTTCATGGTCCTTTTCAGCGGCATTCTTAAAATTGTTAAAATGGCTCAAAAGATTTGAAATACTAGTTTTAGCTTTTCTCGGTGGCGATTTTTACAGTCAGTTGAAATCAAGTCGATCATTTTCGCCAAGGTCGCGTTGAGCTCTTCTTGCAAGGATTTATACAGTTCCTCGGAACTGTTGATTTCGGCGGCGCTCATTTTTCTAGTGACAAGTCTGACGGAGTTGGTTTATCCCCCCATTGATGCCATCAGGGCGAAGGCGTCAAAATCAAATATTATTAACCTGGCTCTTTTCACAATTAAAAAAGCGACGTCCCCCACGATCCGAAAAACGACGTGGACCATCACACGCACCCTCCGTACAAGAAAGGGTTGACAGACAAAATTCTGGATTTGTTATGCTTTTCATTTATGACGTGTAGTCTGCTATTGACATCAAACAACTCGGAAAAAAGAAAAGCTTATGCGAGGAAAACAATTTGATGAAGTCGATTTACGAAAAGTGCCGCTGCTTTCCTTCTTATATGACGGACAATCATTACGTGTTAGTACAGTCTTTTTCATTGAACCAAAAAGACATTTTCTTCAGCCTTGATGAAAAAACGAAGATCAACACGTCGACCGCTCGTGAATGTGATTTCCATGACAATGTCTTTTGCGTTTCAAACGCTCTGGACGGAAAAGGCCCAACTGCGACGAAAGAATGTCTTCCAGGAAAGAACGAGAAAAATTTTGAAAGTTTACTGAGAAAAAGGATAATTTCTCACTCGGTTTTCTGCTTGCATCAGCTACGATTTCATCCAAGATAATATTCACTACCGGATTTCTCCAAGCACAAGTGGTAAGTGCCCGATGAGGGGCCTAGCCGCCCGTTCAACCATGTTCATTGAGTTGGTCGGGTTACGGAGGTGCTTCTTCTCTTTATAATCAAATGGGGTCCCCAAGTTAACGAGCGAAATCCTCGGAGCTCCCCTTTTAACGGATCTCGTAGGAATATTGAGTTGATTAAGATTTTGAAATTGTGATCCTAAATTCTATTATGAATAATTGAATTAAAAAAAATGCAGCTTAGATACTGTATTCCGATTTGAGTTCAGTACGCTTACTGAAGTTCTTCCCTCCTCTTTTCTCAAAACGAAAAAGTTTTGACCACGATGGGACTCGAACCCACAACTTCCTGATTCGAAGTCAGACGCCATATCCATTAGGCCACGCGGCCGGCCGAAGGAGGCTCAAGAACATGTATACTGATTGTATACTTTTCTTAGGGAAGAGGTTTTGGCGAAAATAGAGGAAATAATTGATCGGTTTCAGCTTCAAACATGAACCAGGAGTACATGACTGCAATCGTAAAAACGACGAAGCGGCGGGTGACTGTACTCGAAGAGAAACCGCGATACTCGTTCAACGAGCTAATGGCTGACGTCGGCGGTGCTTCGGGACTCATCCTCGGCCTCTCCGTTGTCAAAATTGTGGAAATCGTTTTCAAGCTTACTTCCAGGTAAAAATCCGATTAGGAATCATTCAATTTACTCTGTAGATGGAATTTCACAAAGACAGTAAAGCGAAAACTGGCAGTTATGCGCCACAAGAGGCAGAAAAGAAGCAGCAAAGACTTTTACATCCATAATGGAAGCGGTAAGGCCTTCTCTATCATAATTTTTGTTGAGTGAAATTAAGGGTCTCCCCATGCATCCGTTGGAACATCAACAGGAACTCGCTCTTTTGATATTTACTGTTAACTGAATTCACTGAATAAAAATTGCAGGAATTACCAAAGAACTGGCCCGATTCGGCTCAAAAATTGAACACGTGACAAAGTAGCTGTCAGGGTGGAAGTAGAACAAGGCGGAAGCGAATGTAACGAATCGCGGGATCATTACAAGCGCATGCGAATTTTCAATTTGCAAAAGTCGATCACTGAACATCGATTATTATTTTCCAATTAGTCCAATTTCTTCGTTTTTTTTCACCACGTGGTAAAAGTTCAATTAGCCATTTTTTCATCATCATAATTGCTTAATTAGCTGAAAGTCAGGACTTTCATAATTCTTCAAAAAGTTCAGTTGTTCAAGTCACATGGAAAACGGAAAAAACATGCCAAGGATTAACCTCTTCCGGTTTTGCTTACTGTCGGATTTTGAATCAAACTGAAGCTTGCGTCTTCCCCTCCAACGTGGACCAAAGCTTTCAATGAACTAGGGATCATTTAGTGGACTCATCATAATTTTCGCAAACGAAATCCTTTAGAAGGAATTATACTTCGCGTAGCGAACTTGGGAAAATCCGGCTCCGATTGAATGATTCGATTTCGAATCTTCGAAGCTTTCCTGTTTGAAAAATTTCGACTGCGTTGCTACTAGTTCTGGAGTTTTTAGGGATGTTCTTGCATATTTTTGAATGAGAAATGATTGATGTAGCCATGTGCGTCTAAAAGTGAAAGGAATCTGGACTTGGTTTTCTAAAAAATGCCGATTGCGTCGTAAGTATCTCTTTACGCATAAAATTAAAACAAGCAGGGTTTCCTCAGAATTCCGGAGGCGCACTAAAATATTTTGGCGGTTTTAAAAACTTTTGACTTGAACAAAAATAGTTACAGTCTTCATTATGATTTTGCCTCGGCTCGGCAATCTGTATGATTATAAAAAAGAATTTTGAATAAAAGATCAAAAAAGTGCCGCTCCAATTTTACGCTAACACGCAATTCATGCTCTAGAATCACGGCGAGCACCTGCTAATGTAATTAACTCCTTAGCGCTATTGTCACCTATAAATTGCAATTTCTCAGAGGTCGAAACAAAAGGTACAAAAGAAGAAAACTTATATTAAGGTTCTGAGAGAATAATAATTCAAGAGACTTCTGTCATGCTTATTCTGATATCCGCCATAAGCGGCCGATCGCTGTTCGAAATGGTGCATCCCCTGGAAAAAGAGCATGCCAAACGAATTGGAGTAACGAAAGACTCCACGATCGCATTGACTTGGGGTCCTGAGGAAACTGCTTATGTTTTCGATGTTACTGATCGAGAAAAGCCAAAGATCCTCACTTGGTTGACAAAAGAGAGCAAAAAGGCTCTTGCGGATAAATATCTCGAGAAGCCTGAGCCCGAGAAGAGACGAAGAAAACGGCATGAGAGTGATCCTGAATGGCTCCCGCCGAGAAAGAAGACCAACAAGGAAAAAACTTCCAGAACCAACTAACCTTCTGTGCTTTACTCTCTTTAACACTATGTCACTGTGACATACAGACTGTATACCGCATACAGTATGCGTTTGTTGTCTCGTTTTATTGTGTTTTTCATATTACCGCTAAAATTTTGCCTCAATAAAGCTCGAATTAATAAATTTTCAATCTCTTATAGATCTCTTTTCTGCAGCGCTAGAATTGAAATCGAAAATCAGCTTTTTACACAGGGGTTGTTTTTTATTAGAGTAGAGTTATGTTCCAACGTATAAAGGCTGAATGATCAACTTCAAATTGTACTCGTCCATTTTCGTCTGATCTGAGTCCCTTTACGGACTTGTACACATCTGTCCAAACCAGGGTCCGATAATTTGAGCTCACGCTAAAACTCCACGAAACAAAGCTTGAGAACTCAGTTTTTAAATTGGAGTTTTGAGAAACTCAGAGATGAGAGCTCGCGTGAGAAATCAAATTTTGTGGTGGCGCTCGCGATCCACGAGCCAGTCAAGGCGGGATGGACGATTTTTGTAAGTGCGCAGCCTTACGCAACACGCCTACGATATGCTGTGGCTGCGCCGACTCGCCGCCAGGCCAACCGGCGGGCCAATCCGCGCGCTCGCTCAAACGGAGTTTTTGAAAACTCATGAGATTTCCCTGCTCTCAAGCAAAATCTCAGAAAATCTCCAAATGATTTCTCAAGTCGAACTGAGTTCTCAATTTGAGAAAATCGAGAACTCAGCCAAAAATGAGTTTTATCGTGAGCTCAAATTATCGGACCCTGGTCCAAACATCGTCTCCGTTCGCTTCATACTGCACTCCGGCCCCTAGAAAAAATTAAGCCCTTTTCTCCTTTGTTTCTTACCTTTTCTTTTGATAGTGAGTTTCCAGCTACCATCTCCTCCGAATCTCTCTGTATTAGACTGATGCTGCAGAAACCACTCTCCTTCTGTTACTTCCAAGTTTTTCTCGTAATGAAACTGTTATTTGAATCGACAATTTTGATGAAAATAATTCTCAAAAATTGTTGATTCACTTCCTTTAGATTAAACTCCGTCATTCCTGCGCTCATCGCTTTCAGGACCCGTCTTATGTCTCTTTCGTCATGAGCTTTTCGAACAGAACTACTGTCAGCTCCGATGTAGTGTCCGAAACCACCTTTCCATATCTCCCCGTTTGTTGTCAGGAAATGCTTGAGTAGATCTTGAAGCGCAGCATTCCGCTCTGCAAGCTCTATATTTTCTTTGTTGAGTTGGTCGTTTATGATTTCAACCGTTTCAACGCGGCTTTTGCCGAATTCGAGGTTTTCTGGCTTGATTCGATTCTTCAGCTGATCAACAAGACTACATATTGCTGGATGACTTGTGAGAGCATACGCTCCTTCTGGGCGGTCTGCGGGCTCTGCTTTCAAACAGGTTTTGATCAAGTTTTCCATTGCAGGAAAAGGAACACTCGCAGGACTTCTTACGTTTCGAACAATATTCGACATCGTTTGCCAATTGTTGGCAGTTGCAAACGGGTGCTTGAAAGTACAAAGCATTTGGAAAACCACCCCGGCTGACCAAATATCTCGGCGAAATGAGAGAAGCTCATTTTCTCCGTTTTTGATTGTCTCTGGCGGCAGATAGTCCGACGATCCGACTACTCCAGTACTAACGGTTCCTTCAACAGCTCGTGAAATGTTGAAATCCGCGATTTTCACCTACGAATTCTTTTTTCTACTGATTGAAAAATCTTGGCATACCGTCTTTTGGTCAGCTGAAAGAAGCAAGTTTTCAGGCTTGATGTCTCGATGTATTATACCCTGGCGATGAAGATAATCTAAATTTGAAATGAGAGTTCTCTTTACTTGAATTTCAAACCTAGAGCGAAAATAATCTGTGAGGCAAATCGAAGAGCATCATTTTCAAGCCACGGCTCTTCTTCTTCTCCCCCTTCTTCATCAACAATTATTCTATTTTGTTTTTTGGTCTACAAAACCTGCAGTCTGTTTTTTCTTAATAAATTCGGAAAGATCCCCACCAGGCAAGTACTCCATAATAAGCGCATGAAAAGGAAAATTATCAGGTCCAGTAAATTCAAAATCATCTAGGAGTTTTACCACATAAGAATGATCAAGTTTTTGCAAAAGCTTCACTTCAGAATTCGCATCTTCCCTTTTTTTCGGACCAAAGAGGCCGATTCCTTTCAACATCTTTTCCTCCCCGCCTGAAAAATCATCATGTAAAAAATTCAGATTTTTTTGTTCTACCATTCTCCTGATCTTGCACAAGAAAATAAACTTTGTCATCGCGGCGTTCTCTCAATTCTTTGATGACTTTGTATCTGTCATTAATTATTGTCCCGTCCATGCTCTTATTTCATAAATTTTAAGTTTTGAAAATGACTTATCTTTTGGGAATCGATGAAAAAGGGCTTGGCAATTTCGTATTTGCATGCACTTCTCAAATATTTACACAATAAATGTATGTTTCATTAAAATCGAAGTAAAACATAACAGAATAAACCATATTGATGATGTAATCGATAGAAGACCTGTTCTATCTTCGGAGAATAAACAAACACTTAATTTCAATCAGCCGCTCCCTTAATTAGTAGGTCACTGTCAAAAATGAAACTTTTCAGCTTTTACTGCTCAGCTTTTGTCTCAGCTCTTCAGTGCAATTGCTTCTGTCCCCAAGGTCCCTCGACGAAATGCTCCGGAAGCCTGGTTTTTGCACTTGATAGAGACCCTCGAACGCGACAAATTTGGAGTAAATTTCTGACTCAGATAAAAATACTGCTCAAGGGAATAGAGAGAGACGAGTTCATCGAATTTGGTGGCGGAAAGAATCAGGTTAAAACAATCTAAAAATTTAACTCTAAAATCATTAAGATAAAATTGGCTTTTAAAAAATATCCTCCAGATGATTTTCCCCAGCTGAACCTTCATGACTACGAGAATCCATCAATCCTCAGCGCCAGCTCTAGAGATCTTAGAAATTATGTCGGCCATCAAATCAGCTACACCCAGCCCGCTGAAACAACAGCGAACATTACTGAATTCATCCAAGATATTGAGCGATCGGATTCGGAAAAAATGCTGACTTTGATTTGGGTCAGAACAATTAAAAAGGCGATTTCGACGCGCCAGATAAAGATAAATTACTGACCCTATGTTTGTTCTTCACGAATGGAAACTGGGAGATGCATAGTTTGAACTACAAGATCAAATCCAAGATTGTTCCTGTCACAGGTACTTCTAGCAAAAGATCCATCTGACTGAAAATGAAAGCTATTCCTCCATGTGCCGGGTTTCCAATCTGTCCAGAAATGAACCGCCTCAGCACACTGTCAAATCTTCCGCATGGAAAAGTCTACCACTTTGGTCTTCCATCAAAAGATGACATCAAGAAATTAATCGTTGACCGCCTCTGTCAAAAAGCTTCTAACGACTGCGAGTGTGAATGCGCCGATTCTCAGCTTTTGAGCCTGATTAGTCCGACTACTCCCCCAACAACTACAAAACCGGTTGAATTCGAAGGCTGGATGAGTTCTGAAGAAATAAAGAAACTAGTCAAAGAGACCGTCAAAGAAGCATTAACGATAGAAAAGAACAAAGAAAAAGAAGCAGAATACCCAGTTTCTTCCAATCTTGCTCTTGGTAGACCTTCGATGTTTCATTCGTACGGGGTTTCAGAAAACATCCAAGTTATCACTGACGGGAAGATTTGCTACGACCACAGTTGTTGCGCTTCCACGGAATACAGTAAGCACCTACCAATGATTAGTGAATTCATTCTTTTTAAGTTTATGAGCCTTGGTGGATGATAGACTTAGGAAAGACACAAAGAATCAGCCAAATCAATATACGCTCTTATCTTAGTAAGGATGGAAAAATGAAGTCAGCCTAATCTTCTATTAGTGAAAGAAATGTTTGGTGCAGAAATCAGACTTGGCGATGAGAAAAGATTCCTTGAAAATCCTACTGTCGGCTATGTGACATCTTCTCCGTAGGTCAATCATTATTCTCAAAAAAGAATCGGTATTTCAGATACCAGAGGTTGTCAAAAACAGAATCTGGCCAATATCTGACTATTTTTCTTCCTCGCACGCATGCTCAGGATTGGTTTTTATATAGAGCTTATGTTCGTTATATAAAAAAAGTAGTGAAACCAAGAAAAGATAAAACTATGTGAGATCGAGGTCTACTCGAGTTGGAGATTCGATCCTTACGAAAATGAGCCACATTTGAGTTTCAACTTTGAAGAAGAACCCCTTTATGACGCTGTTTCTGACGGCAGTGGGGAAGATATTCTTATTACTCTGTGAATAGATCATTTATTTTTGTATCTAGCGTTTGTCACAAACTGCAAAACAATCGAGGTGATTACTCCAGTAATCGGCCAGAGACAGCAGCTGACAGCGTTTCTTTTCGAAATTCTCTTATGCAGGAGAGATGTCGTAGATCGTCCTTGAGCCCAGCATTTGAAATGACTATTGGGCTTCAGATTCATGCCAAAGTACTCGTCGAGATGCTCGTTCATCGCATCATCGTTGTTCATCGGATTATGGTTGTCCCAGTGCGGGTTGATTACTTGAGCTTTTTAGGCTTTGAAAAATAGTTGAAATCAAGGAAGAGTTTACTTGAGATCTTCTAGTTTTCAAACCCTAGTTATAGTCAAAGAACAATCAGAAAAACACGCTCCTTTGAAATCAACTTCATCCCGTCGAATAAGAGTCGTTCGGTCCTCGACGAATGCGTAAATCTTGATGCAAGCGGATTCTGTCATCTTTTTCTTGCTTTTGAATTTCTCGATGGATTTCAAAGTGCAATTTTGAACGGTGAAATCCGAAGTGCTTATGTACGGGACAAGAACGGCAATTGTTCGAGCACCGGACATTATCGACAGAGTCAGAGAGACCATGAAGATCGCTTGGGATAAAGTAGAAAAAACGAAGGTAAGTGGGATTACCTGAAAATGCTTGGCGAACTTGCTCAGTGCTCAAGTGAACCTGGCGCTTTTTGATTTTCGACAATGTCGATTTGCTTGATGGCCTTCCTCTGTATTTGCATTCTATCGGAGAATTGGTGCGTGTTGGCGATTTCGCTATTTGGGAGATCTCGTTGATCATTTTTCAAAAAAAAATTTTAAACTGGAAAAAGAAAATGATCACTGAGTGAATAAAGAGGCCCCCGTTCCATTAGGAGACATTACTTTTTCCGCGGTTGAGAGATGAAAGAAGTTTTAAGCTAATAAGAGCAGATTGGAGAATAATTAATATTCTATGGACAGATTGATCGACAGTATTGACGATCGGAGTTCTGTCCAGAATCGTTTTCAACCGCTGCATAAATGGATTCTGATCGGGTTGGGATTGCTTTGAGATGGATGCCGGAAGGATGAAGTGCGACGCGGAGTTGTACATCTTGCATTTCTAGTGATTTGTTGAAATCATACCATAGTTGTTAAATTTTAACGGTACCTATTTGGGTTCAGCATTCTCTTCACTTTTTATTCCCTCTCAAATGAAGTCACGCTTCTGTAAAACTTTAAACTTCGTGTCGCTAATGAAGTCCGCATCCGCGAAAAAACGGGCCTAATAGGGGATTGACATCACCACAAGACTCTGCGAGGCATCTGCATTACCATATGTATGCATAGAGAAGGCGCATCCCAATAACTTGTGAAATATATCTTTATTGTGTTTGATTTTCTCGTTTAGCTTGAATCTGACGTCGGAGAATTCCAAAATTGAGACGAAAAAATGCCGAAATTTTTGAAAGTCGATCTGGCTGCGAAAAAAGGCGAACTCTTCTTTTTTGATTTCAGCAGAAGCGACGGTAAAAACAAAATGAGTGGAAAGTGCTCAAAAATTAATTCAGAGAAAACTGAGAAAAGTGCTTATTATGTCCGAAGAATACAGAAAGAGTCGATGGCGTTTGCCAAAGGAGTTCGAAATGGAGACAGGATCGTGCAATTGAATAATTTTCTCATCCAGGGTGTGCTTTTTCCATTGATATTCAGTGTAATTTGATTTTCAGGGAGCGAGGAAATTTACTCGTATGAAGATTTGAGACAGATTTTGTATGGAACGACAGTTGGAAATTATTACAGATGCTCTTTGACTGTGGAAAAGCTGGACAAAGGAAAGAGTTGACAAATTGTCATTGAAATCAAGGAAGAGAACCACCTCTTTTGATAACTCCCAAAAAGAAAACCGGCTGTCAGAAATGTAAAAAACCGTGAAATCGAGATTTGAAAATTTTTCATTCGCAACAATAAAAATCATCCACGTACCCTTCCGGCTTTGCGATGTGTATTCTAAATTAGCGTACTTACGGATGGGGGAATAAAAAAATGAGATTTTACAGTCGAGCGAGGCTGGATTGAGATTGAGATTGTCCATCAGCTTGTGACGGATTTCCGGTTCTCGTGATCTTGATAGGCGACGCGTTTTTTCGGATTATTTACGATTTGGGACTTTTTTCTTTTAAGCTTCTTTCTGCATGGTTAAAGATTGCAAATTTACGTAGCACTAAAGTGGTCAACAATAATCTCATCCCCTCTTTACTCCATGAGCAGCGTGCTTACCGTGCGTAAGGGTTGGATTGTTTCTGAAGAGGGTGGTAAATCTTTTTAGTATGACAATGATGATTTGGTCGCGCCTAACAAGGTGCTCGTGGCGTTGGAGTGGCACTTGTCGAAGCTCCTCCCCGTTCGCGAAGGAAGTCTTAAGAGGCGAGCAACAAAAATAAACCTAATGGGCCGCGGGAAAACGGATGTCCGTTGAGCTACATCTACTCCTTCGCATTCCAAACAACCCGTCCAAAAACAACCTCGAGATGTCACTCACTCCTACAGTAAATAAACAAACATGTCCGCAATTGCTAAAAGGATGTAGTTTGAATATCTTAAATTTCCAATTTTGGGATTCGCAAAATCCAAATTATTTATGCTTGGCCAAAGATTTGCATTTATTCTGAAGAAAAGCGGATTTCAGCGAAATATTTGGATGTTTCAAAACAAAACGAAACTTTAAAAATTGAAAATTGAAGAGTACTTTCTTCTTTCGCATGCCAGCTCATAAGTTTGATAAATCAATCGGTTCTGCCTCCCACGGGTTATTTTTCAATCAAGAGCGCCCATTAAAAAATTCGGCGATTTCTTAGAAGCCATTCAGATCCATCAATTTTTCCTTTTTCTAAAGAGGCTCGCTGAAGCTATAAAAGACTCAAAAGCTCGGGCCGGGCCCTTGCTTTTTCAACCCTTTGTGGTTTATTTTAGGACCCTTTGCTATCTGAATATTTTGCGGCGGAGGGCTCTTTTGAACCCTCAGCTTTGTTTGGGCTAATGAGCCTGGCGAAATTTCCTTCGAAAGCGTATATTTATTCCCGGTGGAATTTTACGCCGCGGCGGAATTGTTTGATGACAGCAGGTACAGAATTTTTCTCATAACAGTTTTAAGACAGTTCTTTTTTATAAAAATATTGAACCTTTTTCTTTTTGAAAATATCGTTCAAAAAAGACGGTCGACGGTTGGGAAAAAAGGGTGAAATAAGCAGCGAATAATTAGCGAGTGTAATTCACGATTGAAGAATGTTTTTTCTTCTTTTTCTTAATTTTGATTACTCAGAGACTGTGAGAGTGGATTTTTTATTTTCTAGAGCTGATCCTGCGGCGGTGGTGGTGACAAATCGTAATCACATGGGAACATGTATAGTGGCGGTGTAATGACTGTTCCCACTGCGACGAGAAAAATTAAAAACGTTTGAAAGTCCTTTCTCAGAGTATTTTAAAGCGGGCGCGTTCTCAGCCCTGCTCCGCGCCGAAACTGGGCTAGAAGAAGCAGTCAGAGCCTGGGAAAGTATTTTCCCTTCCTGCATCGAGATACCCGCTTACCAAACCACCTCCACACCATAAAGACCGGAAGTCGTCGAAAACCATTAAACCGGAGTAAAAACAATTTTTTAAAGCAAATAAAGCCGTTTTAAATTTCACATTATTTCAATTTTATTTTCCCAGTTTCGAAACTTTCGATCCCGAAATAATTTTATTCCAAAATTAAATTTCGCAAATTTTTACTGCCAAAGCTTTCCACGCTCTCACAGCTTGAGCTTTCACAACAGAAAGTGATTTTTAAACAAACTCTCAATTATGCGCTGGCGAGAAATGAAAACGTTCTTTTCACGCCTTCCAGCCTCGCCAGATGGCACTTTGTAGGCGATTATTGGATTAGCCAGCGTCTATTGATAACGAGCCCTCGAATCGTTGCCCAAATGGAAAATTAGCCTTTCGCGCTCCTCTAGAATCAAAAATAACAGAAGCAGCTAAACCAATTAGAGGGGATCATAAAGCTCAGCCGTTTCGGCCCCTGCTTTTGGTACATTGAGGATCACACGCGGCGCCGCTCTTTGTGGTCGAGCTAAATACCAAGAGGCTAACAAGACTGAGCGCCCGGTATGCTCAGATAGATGATTCAATAATTTTTCAGCGGAACTTTCGACCTTTTCAGTTTCACAGAAAAAAAACAAGAATTGATAAGGTTCAGTTTAATGGCTAGTTTTTTATTTTGAAAGCTGAAGGTGTGGAATTTTGGGAAAATTTGCGATGTTAATTGAATCTTGCGAATTGCGCGAAAATTGAGGGAACGCTATTATAGAATTTACAAAACAGGCTTATCCTCGGGATGAGCTAACCGCTCATTTTGGCTAGTTATGGAATGATGATTTTTTTCCCTCGGATGTTGGAAATTTCTCTGCGCGTGTGTGGACAAAGTGGCTGAGAAAAAAGGATATTCCCAGCAACTAATCACGCGTTTTTTCAAAGCGCCACTGCGGATGTCACAGCCGGGCATGTCCGACGACTCAGAAACAGAGTAACAAATTCAGAGATTCTCACAGCCGCGCTAATTTAATAAAATAGCCGAATCTGAATCTTTGGAATCGAAATCAAAATTCCATGTTCGCACATTATTTTGAATAGCCGCTATTTTAGCACGTTGAGGATAATCCT